TGGAAAAGAGAAACGAAAGGCAAGGGATGTGTTACGTGCGCTGAAAATTTGCACACCTGTTGCCCCTTCCTTAGGCCGATGTCAGACTTTGCGAATCGCGCGATTCGCTAGCGTCTGCGGTCGCGTCGCGGCCAGTGAATCACTCAATTGGCTGGTACCGCAACGCGACCGCGGACGCTAGCGAATCGCGCGATTCGCAAAGTCTGACATCGGCCTTAGGGAGCACCTGTTTGACGTACTATCCTGCCATGAACCATCAACATCAGGTTTCAATGAATTTATTATATTAAGCCCGTCTTTTGATATTCTTGTGCTATCACAATAACAAGCAACAATACCGTACTGTATTCACAAATTCTCAAAACTACAATCGAAAATACCCGCTCCGGGTGGAAACATTCTGGGCGCTTGTCATTGTGTCAGTCTTCTAATACCGCTTCCTTACTATGGGATCTATCATAAAGAGGAACAGTGAGAGGTTCGACTTTTTCAATGCCTTCGGTGAGTGGCCTGAGCTCCTGAGCATCATCATCGCTTTCGCTTGTTTTCTTCGGCTCGTCTTCTTCGTCAACCAATTTCAAGCCTTTTGCCCAGTAGATCACCCAAATATCGGACAATAACGAGAAAATCCGTAAACCTCCGTAGATGGCGTGCAATCTGAATAAGAAAATTCACGTTACAGTACTCCATAGGTTTGTTGCCTACCGTACCCATAAATGCCTACCGTATCCGAAGCTGATCAGTGTCGTAGATCGGGCAGGCTCCAGTTTTGCTGCATATGTTCTGCCACATCAAACAACTCAAGTCGAATATCTTACCCCAAAATACCGGAGAGGGCAGGGTAGCTGGAAAGAACTAATTTTAGTAGCTTACTTTCTTACCGCTACTAAAATCATAGCTAGAAGAATCCACTAACCTAGTAAACTGACGAGGAAACCATTAAAACCTAGTGAAATACTACGGTGCTCCGGTGGTACAGATCTGAATAACATAATGATTCATTCATAAAAAATACCGGTAGAAAAAAGGACCCAATTTACCTCAAAACAATCAACATTCCAGGAACAACGGAAAGGCCGCCAAAAACTGCTCCTATGGCCTGATTGAAGAAAAACATATGAAACTGGCTATTGCAGTGTTCTGAAATTGAGAAACATCACTAATCAG